TTAACCTCCTGAGTTGGCGGAGACGGATAGGACAACGATAGGCTCGAGAGAAAAGCCCATCGACAGTAAGGCTTAGGTAGTTAGGTTAAGAATTGGTACTCCCTTGCATTTCCCTTTGACCATGTGACGCGAGGAAGAATTTTTCCGGGCGATGTATTGATCCATCTGTGAAAATCCTTCCTGTAACGCCCAGTCAATCTATCTCGGTTCCACATTTCGTGAATTTCACGTTCCATTCACATAACATAATCCGCCCCATACATACATAAGCGTATGACGTTCCACTCCCATTGTATATTCACACATCGATCCTACCATTGGACGTTGTTTGTTTATCTGCTTCATTTGTACCCTACTTGTTTTAATCGCGATCTGAGCAACCAAATTTGGCTCGTTCGTGTGCAACGTGACGGTGAGCGTGCTATTCTTATCCAGACTCATTTTCTCCCGTTCACATTAGTTGAAATACGCTCACAGTAACAATTGGCTCTTGTTTTCAAGTTGTTTCGAGATCACTTTGGGGTTTGTTCAGATTTTATTTGCTTATTTGATCGTTTATTAATGCAGTCTCGTAGAAACTTTCTGGATCGTTTGTTTTGTTGACGTTTTTGGATCCGATTTCGGCTACGCGTTACCCGTTGATCTATTTGAGAGTCGAAGAGATCATGCGCCCCCTCATTAACCTATTTCACGGAGGCAAGCGGAAATTTGATTTTCCGGAAGCAGCTAGAATGGCGTTTGCCTCTATTAAGGAAGCTATCACCAACATAGCTCTCCTTGACTATCCCGACCCCTCTGCATTTCTGTCAGTGGTCACTGACCCCTTTGACATATCCGTAAGGTTAGTGCTGCGAACACAGTTTAATGGTTGGTTTCACCCCTTAGGATTTTTCTCCAAGCGCCTACGACCTTCAGAATCCAGAGACGGCACCTTCAGTGGGGAACTGCTGATGATATACATGGACATAACTCATTTCAGACATACCCTTTAAGGTTGTGGGTTTACCGTCTTCACAGACCACAAACCACTGGTTTATGCGTTGCAATCAGCATCCGACCGTTACTCATTACGCGAGATCCGCCACCTTGACTATGTATCTCAGTTAAATGCGGAAGTACGACACGTCTCACGGGAAAGCAATCTCGCAGACGCATTCTCAACCGTCCACCCGATTGATGCAAATCAGTTTACCGTAGACCTAGAGGCAATGGCTACATCCTAGTTGGATGAACCGGAGATCCTGCAGCTGCAAACCAACAGCTCCCTCTGTAACACTAATCCGAACAACGTTTAATACGAATCCCGATATGTCGACTTCGACTGACCGAATTTCAAGCACGTAGGAAAACAGTTAAACGACAGTTGAAATTTCGTTTCTATTATAGGCATACATCAATACATACTTGCGACTTACGAAACCATCGTCGGTCCCGGTTACAGAACGACAAACAATAGAGCAAATCACGGAGCGAGATCACAAAGATACCGAGCGGGTAATGAGGAGGCCGGTTAAAACAACTATCAAACATTGAGTTCACAAAAGAGAAAGAAGAGAGAAGAAAAGGAAGATAACGGTATTAGAAAATTAGGCTGTACAAAAGCTGTCGAAAACCGTCACACCGCCCCACAATTGCTCAACGATTTCTTTACGTTTTCTGCATAGATTTCGAACGAAATGTTTCCAATTGACATTTGAATTATGGATTATGAGTAGCGCGTGGCGTCATATGTTTTGTAGACGCTGATGGTATAGTTGCTATTACATCATTGTTTAANNNNGGTAAATTGTTAGACCATCGAGCCTGACGGTAGTTCGGGAGACCGAAGGAAAATAGGTTGGTTTGATTAAGAATCCACCCAAATCGGTTGAATACCCGACTGACAGGGGTGTACAGGATACGAGCACTATTGCTCGTCAGACGTGGAGGATTCCAATCAGATTAATTATCATGATATAAAAGTCGATCAAGCATTTCTATCGATGAGGCTGGGCTTTGGCGAACACCGCGTTTTCGTTTCCTTTTTCTCGATTGTAGTAAGCTAGTTAAGCCGCCGGTGACCACAAAATGCAGTCGTTAANAATTGGATGTCGATGGGGTACAATGTTCTCCATCTCTTTTCGATACTGATACTGCAATTAACCCTGTCATACAGTTCTTGTTCACCTGGATTGATGACGACCTAATGTCTAAGGCTAGGACTTGCACACCCGTGGCAAATACAGTAGCCAAGAGCAGGTCATAAAACTGTACAGCTAGCTCATTGCCCGGCGGTGTAGCTCCCAATTAGTGACGGTAAGAGTAATAGCAAAATTTAAGATGAAGCCTAAAACACAACACAAGAATAAATAGTCAATGACCGTTATTCATAAGCGAAAGTCTGAATAACGAATGAAAAGGAAACTTCTCCAGGGTTTGGGTATAGTTATATTTTGATGGTAATTCAATCTAAACGACCAGAAAACGTTTCAACTCCGTGAAGCTTTACATGCAAATTTTCGCAAGCCGGTATTATGAATGACGTCAGGAATATTTGTGAGTCCGTTAATCAAGCTGGAATAGCTCGAGTGCTAATGAACCCAAATGTTCATAAGCCGAGTTTGGAGCCCAAGTGCTCCGAGTTGATTATATTACCAATGAACCCAAATGTCCATTAGCCGATATATCCAGTTGTGGCCCATTCCACTCTGAGTTATTCATTTTCAAATGAACCCCTGTCGATTGCTTTCGTGAATTCGGTATTTCTTGTTTAAGCGTCAAAGTATCACAATTGTGCTCAAAAATGTTTCAATCAACGTGAATAACCGAACATTGAGGATCGTGTGTGTTTGTGAATTGTTATGTGGGTAATAGAAAGTGTTCGTTTTAAAGTATTTAGAATTTAGAAGGGGACAAAAACGAAAGGGACATATATTGTGAGGAAAAAGAAGAGTAAACCATTAGAGACCAAAGGTTCCATGATAAGCGTCAGTGATAAGGAATTTAATAGTTTGTCTCAGTAAGCGGGAAAAGGGGAGATCTCAAAATATAATGGGAGAATAAACGTATCATTTCCTGGAGTCAATCAATTACATGCTCACCACCGGGAACATTGTCCAGGACCCCTTCTAAAGGCAAATATTTCTGACATCTCTTTCGAACGATTCCCTAGTGGATTTTACCTCCACTTCTCTCATGATTCCATCCGAGCTCTTTCTGGTTTGTTGTATAAGGCCCAAAGGCCACTCATTTGTGGGTTTATTTTCCTTTACCCTTAATACCAAATCTTCCGGTTGAAAGTCTATCTGTCTTATATACCACTTGGATCTGATTAGGAGTAATGGCAAGTATTCCCTCGTCCACCGCTTGCAGAAGCAATTTGTGATATCCTGCACTTTACTCCATCTACAGTTACAACAATCTGGTGGGTTTTCACCTCAGAACTCGAAATGCAGCACCCCATGGTGAGCAATATCTTAGGCGTGAGTGTTTTGCAAGCTTGCGGATCGACTTGTTGCGGAACGAGTGGTGGGTTATTTATTATCCGTTTAGCTTCTACAAGGGTCGTGAGTAACACTTCTTCCTTCACCTGTTTTGCACTGAGTGCCGTCAGTATTCTTTTTAGTATCTTAACTAGCCCTTCCAAAACTCCCCTCGATGACTGGCGTTAGGAGGGTTGAAGTGACATTGCACAGCGTCCTCTAGGAGATGATTATGTATTTTATCCTGAGACCAGATCGCAAACAAACTCAGGGTCATTGGTCGCTCCGACAAAATTTGATCCATTATCACGGAATATGTGTTTTGGTTTGCCTCTGCGAGCTTTGAACCGGTCCAGGGCCATGGTGAATGATTCCGTTGAGTATGAGTGCGCTACCTTTAGATTTACTGCTCTCATGGTAATGCAGGTGAAGATACATCCATATCTTTTCTCCACGGATCTACCCCGTTCAGAACTCTCGCTACTGCTGCACTAGCTTTGATCATCCAGAATCGCCTCCTAATTTCAGATAACACGTGCTCGGGCCCTAAATGACCTTCCTTCTCATGAAAGTGACGTATGAAAAGTTCGGTTACATGGTGCCTTGCGTCATGTGGCAAGTGCGTGTAATGCAGTCTAATACCAACTAGACGCATTCCATTTACTAACATTGGACAATTGACGTAGGGAGCTACCTCTGTGCACATGTCCTTCAGGGTACATTAGCAAAACGTGATCGTGTGAGAAAGATTCTGCTTGAACTAGACGCACAACTTTGTCGCATGCTAGCTCAATCTCCTCTGTCAACAGTCTACCCACCCGTAGTAACAGGGCACCTTTCTTTCCAAACAGCAGGCTGTCATATTGCGCAAAGCGCCTCAACCAATATGTTGCTTGTAACAACTTATACCAGTGTGAATGATAAGAGAGTAAATTGACGTTTATCGCGATAGTTATTCGATTAATAGTCACTGTGCGCTTAGGCTCAATCTGCCCTTCGAGTTCTTCAGTGGAAACCAATTCGAAGGGAGG